ATTTATAAAATTAATTTATTAAACTTTAAACATTTTTATATATAGAGAGAGTTAATTACCTCGTATTTAAGGCAACAAAAGAATTATCTAATTTACATACATCGTTCTAACCTGATTCAACTTGTGTAAAAACAGACGACGAAGAAAAACAGACGACAAAGAAAATAAACAAATCAATGGTAGAGGGTAAGTTCCTATTTTTTTTTTTACAAGCTTTCACACTCAAAGAATAATTATTTTCTTGCTTCAAAAATCGATCATAATTTTGAGACAGAAAATATATTTAGAAGTATCGTTTTATAATAGAATATTTATTTATCAATATATATTGTCAAACGAATCATCTACATTTTGTCACATCAATATCTAATGGCGTCTTGCCTTTTAACTGAAAATATAGCAATAAACCATTTACAGAATATCCATGCAACGAGTATTGTGAAGATTCCATTAGATCCCTTGTGGATCTCATGGAATAAAGTCCGCCCTAGACTGACGAGGGCCATTAGCCCGAAACCATGGTCTCTAGGTGGACGTTTCTCAGTTTACCAAAGCTGGTGTTGTGACTTTGTCACCGAACTGAGGCCGCTAGTTTGTGGAGATGGTCAATAGATGGCGTCTAGCTTTGATTTCTATTTTGACGGGAGATGTAACTTTTATCATTATCAATAAATATCCTTTCTGCAAAATGAACAATAGTTGTTAGCAATATGTTGTTTTAAATTTGGGGAATTTTGGGAAAGTACATCAATAATAAGCCAAGATTTTCCTTAATTCTTTTCAATTTAATTCCATTTACTTGTAATTGTGAAACTAGACCTACCAGGTTAAAAGAAATATATATGTTATTAATATTTTGTTTTGTTGTTGAAAAAGATAGGGAATTTAAAGTGCAGTCGCGAAAATGGGAAATAAATTATTTACTTATCAAGTAGTTTTTATTTTGAATTACTTGAGAAGTAAATTATACATTAAATTATTTATCACAGTAATATAGAATTCATAAAATTAATCCTATATTAGTGAATTTTAAAAAAGGTAGGTTAACTATACATATTTACAACAAAAATTCAAAGTGTTATGTTCTAAATCTATGGTCAAAAATAAAAGAATAGTCAATGATGAAAGTAAAATATATGTTTTTTAAAAAATAAAATATTTGCATTTTAGATTATTTAATATATATATATATATATATATATATATATATATCTGGTTAATTTGACATATCTTAAATATTTTATGTTAAAACTGTTTTGTAATTATAGGCTTGATTGGGTATATAAATGGAAATTATATCACACATAGGGTATTTGAATATGTTATATTTTCTTTAATTATTCAGATATATATATATATATTTTAATCTGAATAATTAAAGAAAATATAACATATTCAAATACCCTATGTGTGATATAATTTCCATTTATATACCCAATCAAGCCTATAATTACAAAACAGTTTTAACATAAAATATTTAAGATATGTCAAATTAACCAGATATGCTTTATATATAAATATTTAAACATTGCAATTATATTCATATCAATATAAATTTTTAAAACACTAATTTAAATTGATAAAAAAAGGCATTTTAAAATGTTTTTACCAGTAATGATTAAATTGGGAGGATGGAAAATGTGTGTGTCGTGATATAGAATTATCCTTTGTTTTTAGAGATTGAAACTAATTTTATTATATCTGCTGAACTGCATGCTTACTTCAAATACAGCGCGTCTACGTCACAGGACGACGTGGCATTGAGGAGCTTCCAACCACTACCACTAGAGGCGCTGTACCTTTCCCTTCACTTCCTGTTATGTCTTCCCTCGTTCTGGCTGCTTGCTATGTCGTGAGATATATTAAAACTTATATATTTCAATCTATTCTGCATCTGATTGAACCACCGATCCAACAATATCGTTCATAAAAGATTATATATGGTTAAAGATAGATTCTTTCTTTTGTAATTATTGTAATTAATAAATATTTTTATGCGTAGGTCTTTTCCTATGGGAACTGTGAGCTTGTTGCTATTGGTCGGATATATCTGTGGCAAGGATTTTGTCAAAGTCTTGGAAATTTGACCATAGTAATTTTGTATCCTTTCTCTTGTAGCGTGAAGGACGGTTTTGTCATCCCATTGTCTATAGTAGCAGCATTCTTCTTTTAAATTTTTGTTTTTGTCCTATGTTTCAGCCACCCACTTTTCATTACCAGGAGTCTATACTTAGTGAGAAATATTTTACTACACTATTTTTTTTTATTATTTCGACTTAGAGCGCTATGTCCCCCTAGGGACACTTGCACTTTAAAGATAAACAAAATTTTTGAAAGAAAAGAAAGGAAAGATATTTTAAATATGTACAGAATTAGTATGCAAGTTAGTTAGATGAAAAGATAAAATATATAATATCAACACAATTGATATATGTACAAAGGGTTGGTATGCAAATTTAGTTAAATGAAATCAAATTGTAAAGTATTGTGTGTATTCGAGGAAAGCAATTTACAGATTTTAAAAAAGTTTTAAGGAATATTTTAGAATAAAAATTTGCTAGATATTAGAGAATTATTCAATTAAAACAATACTAAAAAGAGTTAATTTTTAAATAAAAGCGTTCCAATAGAATTTAGCAGTTTTTTAAATAAAATTCAAAATAAATCTGCAAAGTGAGTTGAATTTAATATATTTTTCTTTTGTTGAAATTCGATCAAACGGGTTTGATACATGAACTATATATAAACTATTTTTATAAATTTATATGCAGAATTAGTATAAAAATATCGACATGGGCCCAGGACAGCAGATTTATAACTGATGGCATTAGCCATTCAGTTGCATGATCAGGATTACTTTTTCTTAATTTATCAACCTGATTTCTGTACAATTCCATACTTTTGTACTATTTTCTACAATTAAAGATGAACTTTTTTTTAAAATGTATTTAACAGTTGGGATATTTAGGATAATTGCGTGTATATATTACATTATATACAATTAACACAATTGAACATTAAGAATCATGAAAATTAAACGTTCGATGTCAAATTATGCATATAGCAATTATAAGTAGTAGCTTGAAATATGTACAGTCAACACTTTCGTCTTGAAATATACATCCTGCAGAATCTATTAAACTTAATGTATTGGTCTTTATTGCAAGCAACTTGTTTTGTATTAGTCAGGTAAAGTTGGTTTTCTTCCCTTAGATCAGAAGTTAATGGACAGTTTATCAGAAGGTGTTCAGGGGTTTGTTGTTCGTTTCTACAAGTGCATGCAGGTGAATCAATTTTGCCAATTCTAAACAAATATGTGTTGAAGTCACCATGTCCAGTAAAAAATTGAACGTTATAGAAGTTGAGCTGAACATAGTTAGGAATTCTTGAAGTATAAAAGATAAACTTCGCTTAACAATTGTATTTATTATAAAATATTTTTCATTTATCGTTTTATAATAGAAGATATGTAACACATGTTGAACACAGTCTACACATGTAAATAACAGTTCGACTTATGCATTTACAAATAGGTCAGATTCCTGTTTGAGTACTTGCACTTACTGGTGAGTTAAGATTTTGAAAAAATCAGAGGCAATCGAAGCAGATATTGTTTTAATAAAAAATAAAAAGTTGTAGAACAACAATTTTTACCGCAAATGTTTCTTTTGAACGAAAAATCGTTATTTATTTTAAGGAGAAATACCGATTATTTCGTTCATTAGGGATGAAGTATGAAAGGATGAATTGTGAAGAGTAATGATGAACGGAAAAATAAAATGTTTCCCATCCCTGGATGCTTTTATTTTTCCGTTAATCATTACACTTCACAATTCATCCTTTCATACTTCATCCCTAAGGTTATAAATAATCGTTTTTCTCCTTAAAATAAATTACGATTTATCGTTCAAAAGAAACATTTACGGTAAAACTTGTCAAACGTGTTATTCTACAATCATAAGCCGCATTGAATTGTTGGAAAATATGCCGGGAGGACATTAATCCATAGTAGCATAGGGCGCCTCTCCCGTCAAAATAAACGTCAAAACCTGACGCCATCTAGACTGACGAGGGCCATTAGCCCGAAACCATGGTCTCTAGGTGGACGCTTATCAGTTTACCAAAGCTGGTGTTGTGGCTTTGTCACCGACCTGAGGCTGCTAGTTGAGGCGACGGTCAATAGATGGTGTCAGGTATTGACGTTTATTTTGACGGAAGAGGCGCCCTAGGCTTCTATGCCTTATATTGTATTAGAAAAAAAGTGTCCAATGCGGGATACGATCCTGGGTCATTGCTGTCGAAATTCGATATACCATTCGTCTATCAACCTCTTAAGAAGACTTAAATATATCCAATGTGTTTATCAAAATCATAAAAAAAGATTTTTTTGACAAATGGGAAACTTAAAATTCCCTTTCGACACGTTTGATTGGTAAAAATGTCATTTTTGAGCTAAGAGAGTTTCACAATATATAAGTAAATGTCATTGAATAGCTTGACAATATTCCTTGACACTTTGGCTCAAAATTATTTCCTTGACATGTCCCTTGACACTGAGGCAAACTTTTATTTTCTCACAAATATATATATTTTTAAACACTGTATTCTGTTTAGAATAGCTTTTAAATATTGAAACCTCTCGCTTTAAACAATGTATGTATAAATATTACGTTTCGTATGCGATACATAATATATTTTTAAATAGGAAAAATTAGAATTCGAGAAAGAGTTTATTTTTATTCGAGGTTTTACCAAGCTATAATGCTAGCATATATAAGCATGTTTAAATAAAAAGGCATATATTGAATCAATAATCATTTATAATACCAATATTTCAGTTGGCTGAACGCCAACCTTTATCAAGGTGTTATAACATTTTAATGTCTGTATAATATTAATATATACAGTTATCAGCGTCATAATCAATTCTTTCTTAATTAATTCTGTCACCGTTTGCTTTGTGAATGGAATAAATACCCAAATATGGCTAATTCTCATAACCATCAGTGGTTCAGTGGTAGGATGCTCGCCTGCCAAACGGTCGGCCCGGGTTCGATTCCCGGCCGATGCATTTTTTTTTTTGACAATTTTTAAAACTCATTTATATATTATAAAAGAATGACATCCACGGCGCAAATTTATAATTGTAACGAATTGTATTTGAATAAAAGCATTTAATCGGGTAAAACCTGGGCGTTGCCCGGGTCATTCGGCTAGTAAGCATATATTCGAAACTATTATAGACGTCTATAATAGTTCCAAATTTTCATAACAGATGGCGCGCTAATGCATCATAATAAGTATATGTTGTTTTTCATCGGTCAAATACTATTATTTATAATTTATTTTTTCCTTTTACAAGAGAAGGAATCGCTTGACAACATCTTGAAAAAGGAACAAAAGTTAATAGCGACCTGTTTCTTTTATTAATCCTGTACATTTTCCTATTAAATATTTCCTGATTAATTATTGCTTATACATAAGATAATTATTATTTTACACAAACATTGTGTAAAATAATAAGAAAAAGGCATCTCCTTATCGTGCAACTGAAAGTTGCTAATGGCTTGCGCCATCTATCGGAATAAATATCAACTATCTCGTTGATTTTTAATTATTCCAGAATTGGCCAAATACCCATTCTTGATTAATCAAGAAAAGCTAACCACGGACGCGTTTCGGGCTGTTGGCCCTCATCAGCGTGGTGCAAGCTGTACCTCAACGACCAAAAAATTGGTCATTAAGGCATCCTGAAAAATCATGAAACGGGTAGTTAAGGCCAGAATTGTATAACGCTACACAATGTGAAAAAATAGTACAAATGTGATATTGTACTGGGATAAGGTGCATAAATTAAGAATAGCACGATAAGGAGATGCCTTTTTCTTAATTTATGCACCTTATCCAGTACAATATCACATTTGTACTATTTTTTCACATTGTGATAATAATTACTATTTATATATTACTACTATTCATTTTTTTACATGAGGTCTCTTTAATATTTGTTCATGAATTGAGGTGAATAATTATAAACAAAGATTTTACCTGCCTCTTCCCTAACGGAGATCCTGTACCCAGTCTGGTCATAGTGCTTTGTATATATTCCGCTTTATGCGGCCATTGGGGCTTAAAAGTAATCTATTTTGGTTAACAACCCCGTAAATAGAGATAATTCTATAAACTAAGAGGATAAATACCGTGTAATATATTTCTTTTCCAGAATTTCAAAATATAAAATTTATAAACAAAAATATTATTTATTTAATAGTTTTCCCATTTCTTTCTGCAACATTGTGCATTTTCGATAGTAAGAAGTGACTTTTAAGTTATTTAAAAATATGTATGTTTTTTTTTACGAAGCGATTTGTGTGAATTTACTGTATACCTCTTTTGATTTAAATGTATATATATTCAATTATTTTGTCGCGATACTATGCGTCAACACTTGAAAAAGTACTGTTGAATCACCTAAATCAGGCCTGGCCAACCCGCGGCCCGCCGTAAAAAAATTTTGCGGCTCGCCATTTAACTTTATATATTTTTTTGTATTTTCATTTCTCGTCTGTATATTCAAAATTAGAAAATATATTGAAATAATTATGATAATTTTTTTATTTAAAAAAAAAAAATTTTTTTAGACTTTGTTTACGATTCCGTGCGGCCCGTGGCGTCATTTAGGTTCGCCAGGGCTGATCTAAATTTTCAGAAAAGTGACTTCCTCGGAAGAAAAGGGAGAGAAAAATTTATTCATATAGCAATTATGTACAAATTAAAGATTTTAGTGATATAAGTGTGTTTATATACTTTTATATAAGCTTAGGGCACCTCTCCCGTCAAAATAAATGTCAAAACTTGATGCCATATATTGACCGTCACCACAAACTAATGGACTCAGGTCGGTGACAAAGCCACAACACCAGCTTTGGTAAACTGAGAAGTGGCCACCTAGAGACTAATGGCCCTCGGGTGTTGATAACAAAAATAAAAAAGGCATATCCTGACCATGAGCACATGTGCTCCTGGTCAGGATATGCCTTTATATATATACTAGACGAATGGCCCGGGCAACGCCCGGGGTTTACCCGAGTGCGAATATATTCTAAAAACGTTGACTTGGGTGGTCGCTATTAACAGGGTGGTCTGTATAGACAGGTGGATGTATCACACAGCTGATAACAGGGTTGTCTAGAGTGGTCGCTATAGACAGGGTGGTTTGTATAGACAGGTTTATGAGATAGGCACAAACTTACAGGTTGTTGACGCCGCAATCCCCAGAGAGAGTGTTTTTTGTTGCATCATGCTGTGACTCACACGACGACCCAAGGTCAACAGGGGTGGAGCAGCAAGCTTAGGCCTATCACCGTCTGGCGGCGCTGCTTGCGAGTTATATCTACAATTCTGCAAATAACTCTAAGGATATTCAAGATATTCAAGAAATTATTTTTCGAAAACCTTTCCGGGGATATACCTAATAATATCCCAGAATTTCATGGCGATTGGATGTATGGTTTTTGAATAACAGGGTTGTCTAGAGGGGGGCAGGGAGGACACGTGTTCCCTTGCAGCCAATGAGCGCGCATTCTATCCGTGAGCTTCAGACAAACAGACAAACAGACAAACAAACAGACAGAATAAGGCAAATATATAAGTATATATATATATATATGTTATAATATATGCTCTTCCAGGAATAATAAAGTAAATCTACAGTCGACCAGAGAGAGAGAGACGTAGAGAGAGAACGCAGCTAAAGTACGGTCATTTGGGACACCAACGACCACATTCCAGGGGACTGACCACATGCCATTCTTGGAACCCTGCAGGGCTATTTTTGGATAGTCGGGGGTGGTGCGCGACACAGAAGACAGCCGTCCAGCGGTGGCAGCCGCTGGCGCTCTCTCTCTCTCTCGGATGGCTTCCAAATTCCTCTACCAATTTGTGGCGTGATTATTTCCCTCTCCCGACATTATCACTATATTGTCACATTGAAAGTCGACAGGATCATATCACAGAAGAGTCGACAGGATCATATCTCATAAAGAGTCGACAGGATCATATCTCAGAAGAGTCGACAGGATCATATCACTATATTGCCACACTGAGAGTCGACAGGATCATATCACAGAAGAGTCGACAGGATTCTACGAGAGGCTACCAGAACTTCAACTCATTACATATATATATATACTAGACATAAGGCCCGGGCAACGCCCGGGGTTTACCCGAGTGCGTATATATTTTAGAAATTGTTCAATTAAAATACTATTCGTTACAATTATAAATTGACGCCGTGGATGTCTCTCTTGTGAAACTTCCCGCCCCAAACTGTGTGTGTCTTGAAAATATAAAATTAGAATTGTGGATTTTCATAAAGAGTGGTCGCTATAGTCAGGGTGGTCTGTATAGACAGGTGTATGTATCACACTGCTGTTAACAGGGTTGCCTAGAGTGACCGCTATAGACAGGGTGGTCTGTATAGACAGGTGAATTTATCACACTGATGATAACAGGGTTGTCTAGAGTGGCCGCTATAGACAGGTGGATGTATCACTCAGCTGATAACAGGGTTGCCTAGGGTGACCGCTATGACAGGGTGGTCTGTATAGACAGGTGGATGTATCACTCAGCTGATAACAGGGTTGCCTAGGGTGACCGCTATGACAGGGTGGTCTGTATAGACAGGTGGATGTATCACACAGCTGATAACAGGGTTGCCTAGGGTGACCGCTATGACAGGGTGGTCTGTATAGACAGGTGGATGTATCACACAGCTGATAACAGGGTTGCCTAGGGTGACCGCTATGACAGGGTGGTCTGTATAGACAGGTGGATGTATCACTCAGACGATAACAGGGTTGCCTAGGGTGACCGCTATGACAGGGTGGTCTGTATAGACAGGTGGATGTATCACACAGCTGATAACAGGGTTGCCTAGGGTGACCGCTATGACAGGGTGGTCTGTATAGACAGGTGGATGTATCACACAGCAGATAACAGGGTTGCCTAGGGTGACCGCTATGACAGGGTGGTCTGTATAGACAGGTGGATGTATCACTCAGCTGATAACAGGGTTGTCTAGAGTGGCCGCTATAGGACAGGTGTATGTATCGCACAGCTGATAACAGGGTTGTCTAGAGGGGGGCGGGCAGGGAGGTCACGTGTTTGCTGGCAGCCAATGGGCGCGCATTCTATCCGTGAGCTTCAGACAAACAGACAAACAAACAGACAGAATAAGGCAAATATATAAGTAGATATATATGAAAAATGATAGAAAAATAAAAAATAAATAAAAAGGTCAGGTGTTGATATTAAAAATAAAAAAGGCATATCCTGACCAGAAGCACATGTGCTTTTTTATTTATATATATTGCCACGTGGAAAATTAGGGAAGACCAACTTCGGGATGAGACAACAATTTATTTCAGGCAAGAACAAACTATGAATGATAAACAAAAGATAAGGAATGGGGGAAGTTTACAGAGTAGTAAAATATAAACATAAAAAATGATACTCTGTTAATACTTGTGCAAAATAATAAATACTTCTCGCTACAATATAAATTTATCTCGCATGTGTATCTCATAAACGAAAAATCGAAATTTATTTTTAAGGAGAAAAAACATTACAGTGTATTTAAAATTACTTCATATAATATTTACGAACGGAAGAATATGTCCAGGGTAGCCTAGTAGACATGGCATCTGCCCGGTAAGCGGAACACTGTGGGTTCGATTCCCATCCCTGGACACTTTTATTTTTCCGTTTATCGTTACTCTTCACAATTCATCCTTTCATACTTCATCCTTAAGGTTAGAAATAATCGTTATTTCTCCTTAAAAATAAATTTCGATTTTTCGTTTAAAAGAACCACATGCGGGATATTTTTCAAATGTCGTTTTTTACAATCATAAGCCGCATTATATTGTATTTAAAATATAAATTTAGTGTTATTAACAAACGGCTTCATTATTGTTCTTTTTTTTCTCTCCTGTACTGGAGAGTTACTAAATACAGCAGAACTACCTCTCTGTAAAGGACAACACCTTGTTACAGAGTGTCCTTTAGGGA